AATAAAATATATATATATATATATATATATATAATTTTAAATCGTTTCGTAATTATCACGTATTATAGATTACATTTTGATAATTAAGCGCTAACTTATATTATATTAAATTAACTTTTAAGCAAAGCATATTCGTTTTGAAAAATAATGGGATTAATTAATCTTTTTTCTTTATTTGTAGGTTTAGGAATTCAAATTATACTTAAAGTAGAGGTTACCAAGGTATACTGTATTGTGTAAATCAATTTGATCTATGAAAATTGCTTTTACATGTATTCGAACAGAAAAATAATATGCTGGGACAAAAAATACTGGGGAATATTGAAAACAACAATTCGCATAAAGTTATCAAAACTAATAGTACCGACCTATATGGAACAAAACAAATAAGTTGTTTTTCAGAGAAATGTTTTCGCATATAAAAAAATGTGTACAAATAAGAACAGTTACAACGACAACAACAGCAGAAACACAATAACAATTTCGTTTTAACAGCAAACGAATAGATTTTCAATTGAAACACGCTCGATAAAATATCTGTTTATATTTTACATTGCCAATTGAGAACAATTAAAAAAAACAACCGGCTGGGTTAGGTTAGGGGCTGATGCAATGGTGCCATGTCAAGTACAATTTTACTAAATTATAAGAAAAAATATCCTAAGAACTTTAATGTTCGAGGATTTATGTATGCGAGGTTAAATCAATCTTGTGATAAAAATATTGTTTTTATATCAAAAAGTGACAGTGGGGAAATGTTGTCAACTTATGACAAAAATGAGACAGACTACATTTTTTTCGCCTTGAGTTTTGTTAGTTTAAGATTGTAATTTACGTTTTTGTTTTTTACTGCTTTGTTTTTTTGTGTTTAATATCCTGTTTTATTCCTCGTACCACCAGGGTGCTGTTGACACTAATTGGTTCTATAGATTTGTATCGCACGTCAATAAGAAATAACCACTTTTACCAATTTGTAAAGGTTAATATTATTTGTGACGTATATTTTTTGAGATCTGTACGGTAAGAGCAAATAAATCGCCACATTAAAAAAAACAAGTAATTTAGAACATTCTAAACGCTGAGGAGTATAAATCAATTAGAGGAAGGAATATTATGGCGTTATTAAATCAATGTCTAGATCAATATAACACACTCATTTTATTTAATTCAACAAACAAATAAAAGTTTTAGATAAGCATAGTATGCTAGAAAAATAATAAAATTCCTGGAAAATGCAGCCCTCCTATAGAGTTTTCATGAACCGACGCGACTACTGCTGATAGTCCTGGAATGCTTCTAAATTTCAATCCATTAATATAACTTAAGTTTACAAAAGGTTCCTGATCTAATCTTAAATAATTAGGCCAGTAATCCCAACTACTCCTCGTAATAAGACTTTCCACATCACCAGGTGGACACTTACTTAACTTCAATTTGTCCCTTGCGGTATTCTTAAAAAATAAAAATGGTTAAACATGTTTTTAAATAATGTAGTATTTTATACAAAAATTACTTTTAATTCAGGGCTAGGAAAACGAACCACAGATGACAAGTTTGCATTTCTTGTGTCTAGTGAATTTACCCATCCATTAAAAGTGCGGTATGGGTCCAGGTTCTATTTATAAGAGAATTTATTTATTATAACAATAATACACGTTTACATAACAACATAACAACAATAATACATTTCTCATTGGGTTTAATAAGAATATAAAATGTTATTTTTTCATATTGTTTTTATACGATGTTATTACAATTTTTTTGTTTTTACACCATTTCCAACTTAGTTTTCTTGACAACAAAAAAACTTAACATAAAACATTGCATGAAATTTATCTGATAATAAATTTGGGAATTTATTGAATAGGGCCCACGCTTTTCTTTTTAGTCAAAAATTAACGATGTTACAATAAAATATTATTTAAAATTGTAAAAAAATTTAAATTGTTATTGTAGTAAATTTTTTTTTTACTTTTTTACTATTTTTTAGAATAGTACAACTATAGAATATTATGTTATTATGTATTATATTTCTGTAAAATAATTAATATTCTTTAAATAATAGGTGGTGCATTGCTCAAGTGCTCCATGGCACGAGCCGCCACTGGGTCTAAGTTAAAAAAGGTCACTTCTTCACTCTTTGAATTTAAAAAAAATGTATAGTATGATAAAATTGTTTATCCTAAGAACTCAACACATTTTGTGGAGTTTTGAAAAACGTAAAATGTATTTTTTACCTACTAAAAAATAAATTAAAAGACATTACTCGATTATATTTACCTGGCTTGAAGAACCCGTAAAATATGGTGAATCTATACCAGCGTTCACTAAAACGTCAAAACACGGCAACAGAACTATAATTTTCCACATCATTTTTTTTGTTTATTCACTGTGAAATATCTTGACAATAAAGAACAACTAGAAAAGTGGAAGTCAGATACAACACTGTGCTGAATTTCAATGCTTTCGTTGCAGTATGACTCTTCAATTTGTTCTATGGGTAACGAAAAAGCTACGCGTTTTTACAGATGGCCTTAGTTAAATACAAACACAATTTTGGCCGGCACAGAATAATATGATGTTAGTGAATTTTAGCATGTAACATGCGTTAGCCTCGGCACCTAAGCCCAAAAACGAAACTATAATGTCTTACGAGGTAGCGCGTCTACTTTTAACGAATAATAACATAATATAAGATGCCATGGAAATAATTACTATAGTCCTCGTCGTCATACATAACTTTTGGCGAGAACCTATGTATTGATTAAAAGACTATTATGTGTGACGGTTATGAGTAAAATTGGTAAGAGTACAATGGTATAAGATGTACATATATATATGTATGTATATACATTTTTTTTAAAAAAGGTATCTAAATTAGTGATTTTTTTAATATCAAACATGGTATTTTTTTCATATTATATAACAATTTCAGAGGAAGTAATATCCAATTCTTGATCATTTTCTTTAGTAGCACAATTCCATATGGATAATACCTTATTGTAGTAGAGATTGATGTACACACAATTTGTAAAAAATCTGAGGAAATAATTTCGTTCAAACTATAGAATAATCTATAAACGATAATCCTTATGCGCATATTGACATAATATATTATATGGTACATGACAATTCTATATCATATTACATTTCAACATCAAACCTAAGTATTAACAACTTTAGTTACTCTATTAATTAAAAAAGCAAGTTGGACAATACGAATTACTATTATAATCATTGCGGACTGTTATTTCCTGAAATGGATATTGTGTACAATATTATATAGGCACAGCCGTTTTATTTGGATCTCATTTCAGCCAAGTTGTTCAACCTCATCTTACCTATGGATCTCCCACCTAAATCCTTTCCTCCTGGTGAAGTTAAGAATTGTATTTGTTCCTTTCCACCTAAGAAAGCCCCAGGCTACGATTTAATTACTTCTGAGGATGCTCGACAACTCCCTAAAAAAACATTAATTTTATTGACTTTTAATAATGCAGTTCTTCGTTTATCATATTTTCCACTTCAATTGAAATTCTCCAGCGAATCTTACAACATACCTTTTTGTTTAAATCTGTTTGCTATAGTTACCAATTTAAAATAATGGCTATCGTTTATTTTCAAAATGTTTGCCATCAAGTTGCAGCAGCCTAATAGTAAACTTATAAAATACAAGTTTTCTAACAACAACAAACCGTGAACTAGGGTCGCTTAAAATATTATAAATTACTATGTACACTATACCTGTTAAAAAAAAAAAATATATATATATTTGTGTGTTTAATATTCTGTACATATCCATTGACAATTAAAATGTATAAGTTTTTTGTAAATCTCAATTTACTCGTATGATATTTTGTTAAACGATATCCTAACAGTCACAAAAATAGTATAATAATAATTTTTTGAAAATATACTTTTCTGTAGAATTAAAATATATTTTTGTCAAGTTGTTGATCGTCTAAATAAAATAGTAATAAAGAAGAAAAAATTGCATAGGTTGGTGAATAGAAATTGGTCTTTCTGTAGGCAAATTATAGTATTTTACATTCATTTTTAAATATTGTATAAAGTAGTAGGATTTTATTATTAACCGCCGCAACCAAAACTGGTCGTTAAAATAATTGTGTGCTAGTGTAAAACTAAAATAAAAACTTATATAATATACACGCTTATGTCATATGTTGCTACAATTTCTATTTCTATAACTTAAACACATTTTTTTAAAAATAATTATAAACATTTATAAAAAAAAATTATGTACCTGTATAACATTATTATGCCATTATAGGCATAATAGTATTATAGAGATACATAATTTTTCTCAAAAGCCTGTAGCACTATTACTGACGGCAACATACACGATACGGCACAGAGGAAACGATACCTGCATACTGTCTCATCGGTCGGACAAATTATCTACTAATTTACAATAAATATGAACTATAATTGAACATTTGTTTTGTTTAAACTATTTCTTATTAATGATACTTATATTTAATAAGAATAAAAAGAAATTAATTTTAATAAAGAAATTCACATGTGATAATATTGTAATAGTAAAAAAACTATTTAAATCAATACGTTTAATAAAATATTCGAATAAAAAATATACTAATTTAAAATTATAATGCACAATTTGTTTTTATGTGTAACGTCCATACAGTTATGTTTAAAAATTACTACAATTTGCTTTGGAAAATAATGACTGATCAAGTTACCTGTTTTTACTAACAATAATAACTTATATTTTATTCATAAAAAATAAAATTTTTTCTACTTACAAACTAAAAACAAAAAAAAACAATGTTTTGTTTTTAGTAGATAAATAAACTTTTTTTTTTTTACAAATAATTTATTTGGTTGGTTTTTTTCAATTATAACGTAATTATTAGGTTTTTAACTTGTGTAAAGTATACATAATAATAATATTACTCTGCTATTTAGATTCATTGAACAAACATAATTTTTCATAAAAATATATCAAGAAATCTAGGGAAAAAAATTAATTTTATAAGTGCAGTTAAAAAAAAAAATCAGTACGGCGATGCGTCAACTTGAACTAACATCCGATTCTCGTTGTTTCCTTTGACGTCCATGTCGTTGATGATCTGGATAAAGAAAAAAAAATGATATGAAATTTAAAAAAAATATATATATATATAATAAAATTAATATATACAGTATGTCAACGAATAATAAATAACGGCGAAACTCTTTTATAAAAAAAAGTACCGAAAACAATGGTTGAAAACGTGAATTTATTAAGCGTAAAATGGTATATATTTTTTTATTTATAAAGTATATTATTAAGTTTAAATTAATCCAATATAATTAAGATATTCATGCACTTTATGCTTTGGATTTGAATATTTATTTTATTTTATTAAGTATTTCAATTTTTATTTTTTTACTATAATTGTATTTTTAAAAAATTAAAATATTTATTGTGCTATTATATTGAATTAACTATTTACTTTTTAATTGTATCAAGAAGTTTTAAGCATTCAGAGCAGAACTTGGCTTTTGTTAAGTATACATCGATCTGTAAATACGAAAATGAATCAAGAACAAAAAATACAATAATGTTATCAAATGTAGGACAATTGAAGTTTCATACTTGCATCATTTTCTATAAATTAACTATGACATCTCTCGAGTCTAACTTGATTAAATTCAGCAAAATGAATTTATTTATGTTCAGTAGTAAGCTTGTTGTTGTTGTATCAATCCCTTGGTGTAAGTAACTGAAAAATAAAAAAATTCAAAAGTAAATACATTTATAAGTAATAACTATCCATGAACTTTGAATACATAATTCGGCGGTTTAAAGTCTATTTGGCTGTTAGCAAGTTATTAAGGTACTGTACAGCCCTTTTACATACGTACTCACGGTCATCTTGAAGTCGTAGAATTAATTAACGTCCAGCCATGCTCATCCGCTACAATATTTTGCTAAATTTCAATGAGATAGTATTTGCGGATAACAGTTCTTAATTGTTGCTTTAAACATTTAATACATTGAGAAATTTGTGCATAAGAACTTGATTCATAAAGCATTTCCCTGCTCTTAGTTAGAGTTACGGGAGATTCTAACCGTTTTTCTGTAGCGTAAAAGTGACCGACAAAATTACTCATTGAAACTACTGTTGGTTTGTTGGTCGGTTTGATAATAAACATTTTCATTGTTGGCATCTTGAATGAAGATTGCTTTATCGGATATTCTTTACTGGAGTTTTCGTTAAACAAGTGACTTTACTTCGTGTACGTTTGGACGGAGTTTTATTATTAATATTTTCTGTAGGGGCCTATGGTGGAAACGGCACAAAACACTAAACAGTAAACACAACTACTATAACACTAATATAACAATTATTGATACATAATGACTTGTGGTCTTAGAATCTTCAGTACTATAAAGTATATTATTATTTATCAAGAACAATAATATTATTATCACACATTAAAATTTGAAAGAATATATTTTGTGATAAGAGTATATCGTCAGTGAACCCCGCCATCGCATCAAATTTAAATTGTATCTTTTTAAACGTTTTTTCCTAAGCTTTGTAGTTTTAATTTTTTGAAAAAGATACCTACACAATTTAGTGAACAATAAACAGTCTTTTTATTCGTATAACACAAGTTTCAATATGAGATTAGGTCATATTTTGATACACACGGTAGTAAATCTTTCACATTGTGTTTGTGCTATGCTTTGTTATATTACATAAGGAAACTTTCAGTCATTCATATATAGAATCAAATAGGTACCCGAGGACTTGAGTCTATTATGGCTATTTTTACTTTTTCCTATTATTTTTTTTAGTGTTCAACACTTTGTACCTGAACAATCAACAAAATAAAGTTAACCTTTTTGCTCTAACGATTACGATAATGAAATAAACAGGATATAATCAATAGTACAATGTAATAGCTGTGACGATACTGGAGTAAAATGTAAATAGTTCATTTCTAGGTTTTTTGCTGTCTATTAGGTGTAAATTGTTGACACTAGATGGCTCTGTTTGTGAACTACTATTAAGCCGGTGACTTCGATGGACGATACGAAATACTTACAATTGACTGAGAATGTTTACTATTGATTGAAAACAACTAGGCGTCGTCTAACGCAAGTCGTGTGCAAAAAATAAGTATATTAAATATTACGCGTGGGGTGAAAATTACTTTTGACAGTTTTACTCGATCACTTTGGGTAACTCCGGTTAACTCACTGATGACGACCATAAGTATGGATCGTTGGCAATCGTCCCAGTTAAGATCATACTTCACAGGATCATTTCTGTAGTATGCATCGTCCCCTCCAGGTGCAAATCTGGAGTCGTCGTCAGCCACGATGATGAGTCTAGTTCATTTGCCAGAGCGTGAGGCTGCTAGTGGTCTACCATTTGCTTGGTCATGACTGTCTAGCGACGATGATCGCAACCAGTTCGCTGGAAGGTGTTTGAACGGTCTGAGTGGTTCCTATTAATAATAGTGATGAAATATGTATCAACCTGATGCCCATTGCTGAATGAGTTGAATACTTGAAATGCTGGTAAAATATGTATAAAACATTAAATTTATCAATTTTTGTTATATTTGTTTAATATACCCGAACCGGGGCCGCTATTACGCATAAAGGGTGGTAAAGTCAGCCTAAAAACCGAAAAAAACGTATTATTATTATTTGTATTAATTAAGAAACAAAAAAGGTATTGATTTTTACAATACCTAGTCAATTTGTTTAACTTAGATGCAGATCTGTGAGGGATTTTCACTCACGGGTATACCTAATAACACATTTTGTGCCCGTTGAGGGTTTGCAGAGCGTTGGCTCCCGCGAGTTCGGCTGTTTTCATATATTTTCCCGATAAAAATAAATTAAGCCTATCCGCCTGTGGACGTACAATTTAAGTTCATACAACACTACAAAAAAATAGTGTACAGTTGTAAAAAGCAAAAAAAATATGCCAACGGCACGTAGTGTTCCCAAGCGGTCACCCATCCAAGTACTAACTACGCCCGACGTTGCTTAACTTCAGTGATCGGACGAGAACTGGTGTATTCAACGTGGTATGGTCGTTGGCGAAGAAATCGTGTTTATGTTACTTATTTAAACACAAGATTGTAACTATTTTTCTTTTTTTAATAATATAATATGATGTAACACACTGCATACAATTTAGTTTTCACAGCACAAAAAATAAAATAAAATTGTACAATACTAACTAAATCACATTATTTTAATATTGTGCACGATAAAATATGTTGATTGTTAAACAATGTATTAATGAGTCGATTTTGAATTTTGGTTATTAAGAGTCATGGCAAAGTTTATAAGATACAATTATTTTACCAAATACTATAAGTTACATCATACGACCATGCGATAAATGAATAAAGGAAATTTTAAAAACTGAATTTTGAAATCTAAAATGTTTAGTTTCCTAGGGACTATATAGCATTTTTGACCAAGTACACTACAAGTGTAAGCATATTAAATGATTACATTTTTTAAAAATTGATTCAATTTTGCAAAAGTAAACGTCGGTTGCTCAAGATTTGTTTTTTAATAAATGCCTATATTTTATATTTTGGTTGTCACGGCGTAACATTTTTGGAATTTGTCATTTTTCAAAATAATTGGTGACTGGTCTTTAATTGTTGTTTTTAATTTTGTGGGCTGCTGCCTACTGCGTAATCTAGTACAAAACTAATATATAGTTATTTGATCATAATATTCAATAAGTCCACAATTATTTTCGAAACAATAGTAGTAAAACTAGTTTATTAAAGATTTTTCGTAAAAAAATGTACCATTTTAAGTATATGTTTAATTTTTTGTTGAATGTTTTTCGTTATCAATTAAATTCAAAATGAATAATTTTTTTTTGTCAAATGAGTTTTTCTGTTTTTGTTTTGCCAAACATGTGATGTTTCAAATACCCGATTCAGGTTTGTTTTTTAGTTCTTAGTACTCAGATATACCCGTGGTCTCTATTTTAATCTCGACATTGAATCTACCTTAAAGTGCGCGATTCCAAAGTTGTATTATTTGCAATCGACAATAAACGCACTTGTTTAGAAAAAGGCGTCAAGTGAAGGCAATTTAGCTACACGAATGAACAGCGTGCTTCATCGCATCTTTTTCACTTTTTAATACTTTTATATGATATGTCATTCAACTAACGAATAATTAGAATTTTCGAATGAGCATTTAGTTAAATCAAATTGCATAATTTAAGTCGATTAAACTTTTAAAAAAATGTCGTTTCCCGTTATTTTCTGTTTTGCGAAGTACTAATTTGTAAACGATTATTTTTTATTGTTATTATGCACTCGGTTTAACGATTTTTCTATTTTGAATTTACATTTGTATTATTCTTTAATCGTAGTTGTCTGTCTTATCAATAGTATCATTATTATATTCGCAATGATTAATTATATATTGGTTAAATTAAATATTGACAAAATTTTTTGTAGAGATAGCACAATAAGTTATAAAACTATAGTCAACAATTTTGATTAAAAATTAGGCGAAATAATTTTGTATTTAATTAATGGAATTTGAAAAAAGGATTGCAATACAACAAAGAAATGTTTTAATAAAAAATTATACTAGTGATAAATTAAAACATTATTCTAAAGTAATTAATCTAAATGTCGTCCAGCACAAACTTCTTGGCGAATTCGTCAAGTAAAGTAAATTCAACTTTACTAAGACTAACGATTTTATTTAAAAACTCGGAAAAATCCACCACACCGTCGCCTGGAAAAACATTCAGGTATTAATCAATAACAATTTTTACTACATTTTTGTTGTCTTCTATTAAGTATTTACCGTTTTTATCAAAGTTTTCTATGGCTTTTTTGGCTTCTTGGGATTTGGCCAATTTCGAGTGTACAAAGTCTGAAAAGTCAGCAATCACATCAGCGGTAATAACGCCTTTTTTGTTTATGTCCATTACAGTAAACATCTCACATAAAATGTGCAACTAAAAGAATAATTAAGAAAAATCTTATACATTTTGAAAACACTATAACACTACTGTATTCACTTTTACAATAACGAACTTAAATGGTAACGTACATACTTTATTACCTTTTTAAATTAAGAATATTTTACTAAAAATGTTAACTGGTTGACGACCAATTTTCAACAACTACTTTTAAACTTATAAGAGGTTAAAAGTTAGAAAGGAAGGGAAGTGCACGCATATAAAAATAATACTACACCCCACCTTTCCTCCTGCGATAAACTTGTAACTTCAATAACCATCAAAACTAGTTATCCAAAACTGGTATAGAATATTAAGTTTGGGAGATGCATAAAAATGTATGGAAAATTGCGATCACATTATTAAAAAACACTATAAAATGTTTTTTTTAATATTAGTTAAACCCAATGAGAAATTGAAGGGTTTCATGATGAAATCATATGTATACATATAAAGAATACGTTTAAAGATGATTGAAGGCATATGCGAGTTGACAAACTTGGAATGTCATCTTTTCACCAAGTATATTTCTATAAATTTGATTATATTACACCTAAATCGGAAAAAGTGTTTGAATAAAGTATTTTAGAGTATTTAAAAATAAAAATTCACACGTCAACATTTAATTACTGACTAATTATTTATATAAATTTTAGGAAAAAATACTATACGAAAAACAAAGTTAATACATAAACTATTAACCTTTAACGAAGCTTCCATCATTAATTCTACTCCCTGGAACTCGTCACAATCAATTTGACCATTTCCTGAAAACAGTTGTAGTAAATATTTTAAAAATGAATTTCAACATATAAGTTTCCTACTACCGTCTTGATCGATAAGGTTATACTCTGCGCCACGAGAGAAGTAACCCGTTGCTCGACCGAAACGCGTCCGATTCCGCGCATCGCCACCGATAGGCCACACCCACGGTCGGCGGCGGCGGCGGCGCTGCATTATAGGGTGTATCATAACGTTAACTCGATACAGTGTGTCACAAGTCACAAGACTCACGTCTTACGATTTTGAACCACGCGCTTACTTTTACTGTTGAATTATTACATTATTATATTATTATTAAAATAATAATATAATAATAAATAATATATTATATAATACATATTTAATTTAAATATTGTTTAGTTTTAATTTAAATTTAAATATTTTTTAGTTTTAATTTAAATTTAAATATTTTTTAGTTTTAATTTAAATTTAAATATTTTTTAGCTTTAATTTTAATTTAAATATTTTTTTATTTTAATTTTAAAATAACAAATATACTTTATATATTATTATTATTATTACATTATTTTATATAATTGTCGTTTTTTGTCGTTTTTTTGTATAAATAAATAATTAATAAATAATAATAATAAATAATAAATAATTATATATATCATTTATAAATGACAATATAATATAATTATTCACAATTATAATAAATAATATACTCTATATACAATCACTCTGTATATCGTTTGTTTCGCGCTGTATGCACGCCTCAGCGCGACACTGAATGGCACAAAGTGGGGGAAATGGGACCTCGGAACAGTCGCGGCCGTCAGTCGTGATGCGCGAAACGGGTTACTTCTCTCGTGGCGCAGAGTATAGTTATTTCTTTAGTTTCGTCTAGCGCGTTGAAAAAGTTCTGTTTACATTCTTTAAACAGTATTGCCTGAAGAGCTGCTACCGGAAAATTGTCTTCATCGTTGAATGGACAGTCATCATCCACTACACTCGATGTATTTTTCTAAAATAATATCAGAAATGCATGTCATGTAAACTTTATAACGACTTATTTGGAAAGGTTTAAAAATATATATATATATAGTTTTTGTGTGTATCTGAATAATGTTTAAAAACAATGATTATATTTAATTATATCATTTTTATGAATTAAAGCGAAACAGTATCAGGGTAAAATCTCTTTTAAGTTTTCATTCATTCTTCCTTTCCTTCCTTATTAATAAGTTGCAACAAAACTGAAAACACAAAAACTTCAGACGCGTATAAGTTTTTAAAATCAATTTCATATTTATATTCGATCCAAAGTATGCGTTAAAAAATCTTTTAAAATATGTACATACTCGTAGTTTCAAATTAAAATAGTAGCGCTCTATAGTTTTAATAAAAATGTAATTACTTCTAAATTTGTATGGAATATATAAAAATTGAAGGGCCAGAAACATTTTGTTTATTTCTATTGTTTAAATGAAATTTTAGGCCTTAAGGTCTGAAAAATATACCGAAGGTAATTCTAAAAGGGGACTACGACGTCTTATACAATTTTAGATTGCTCTGTATGTGAGTACATTTCATTAACTTTTAAATAGAGAAGAATATACTACAAATGTTGAGTGGTCCATAACAAGTTTTGGATAACTAATTTTGATGTTCTTGAGGTATTATTATTTTTATCTGCGCGCACTTTCCCCCCGTTTTAACTTTTAAACTCTTAAAAGTTAAAAAATAGTTGTTCAAAACTGGTTATAGACCAGACAAATTTTCAGTACATTATCCTCCATTTAAAAAGTAAATAAGGTATATACGTTACTATTTCAGTTTCAATAGTTGCTATCAAAAAAACTAATTTTGTAGGAGAATAAAAACATGAAAATTTGTGAGAAATTGAGATAATTTTACATAAAAACACTATGAAAAAAAATAATTTTAATTCAACCCAGTGAGTGGCACACGATAAAAAAATCACCGTTCCTACTATGCCTCGACCCCACTGTACTCATTTAGAGTTTATAATGTCTGTTACGTCCTAAGTATCTCACAGATATATCATAGACCACAATGTGGAAATCACAATTACGAAAAAAAAAATAATAATAATATAGCGTAACAATAATACAACGGAATTAACCTCTGTCATAATATCCACTATCGGTTTGATTTTTTCTAATTTAATTTGCACGTTACCTGAAAATATTTATTACAATTGTAGAGTGAAATTAATACAAAATACAGGGTGATCAACTTATCGTGAACCACTGAATATCATACTGGGTTTAGTTAATAATTCAATTTTTTTTTTCCATACAATTTGTATACAACGTGAACTCAATTATTCACAATTTATTTTTGTTTTTACCCTCCTCCCAACTTAGTTTTTTAGATAGCAACTTTTGAAACTTAAATGGTAACGCATAGAGTTTAAATGTTAGGATGGGTGGGGGGAAGTGCGAATGGGAAATTCGCGCAGATAAAAACAATACTGCACTCCACATTTCCTCCTGTACTGAACTTGAAACTTCAATAACTTCAAAAATAGTAACACAAAACTGTTAATCGACCAGACAAAAATTCTAGTACATTATTATCAAGTAAAAAAAATAATGAAATGTATGCGTTACCATTTAAGTTTCAAAAGTTGTAATCGAAAAAACTAAGTTGGGAGGAGGGTGAAACCAAAAAAAAATTGTGAACAATTAAGATCACATCGTATAAAAATATTATGTAGAGAAAAAATGTAATTACTTATTAAAACCAGTGAGATATTGAGTGGTTCACGATAAGTTGGTCATCCTGTGTATATGTTTATAATATATATATATATTTTTTTTTTTTTCTGAAATATAATACCGTCTCTATTCAATAAAGATATATATCTTTTTGCTTGGCGAATAGTAACGAGTCCTATTGACTCTTTGAATAACATTTGCTGTAGTTCCATTGCGGAGATCAAACCATCATTGTTTTGGTCGTACATATGAAATTTCTCATGCCATCCATCGTTCACATCCTCGCTCGGAATCACAACCTAAGTGTATTACATGAGAATACATTTTGTGGTAAACAACACGACCAATTTGTGTAGAACAACCAGTGCAAAGACATTTTGTATACATTTCGTCGATATCATTGCGAGACTATCATTTTGTCTAAATATACCATTTATAACTAGTAAAAAACTCTTAAAAAAAAGAAGGAAAAAATAAATATTTCCACGATGGTTTATTTCTGTGCTGCTAATTGTTTGGTATTATTGGTAAAAATTCAATTACATTGTACCCGTATACTATTATCTTCTACTATCAATGTTTTGTTGTAAGAAAAAATATTTTTTTGACCCCGTTTACTACAAGTTGTTTCATATTTAAAAGCTTTAGATAATATATATTATTTACGTACCTCCGTTGAATTGGTCTCGATTGACGCATCATTTTCCCCAATAAAACATGCAAAACACAAAAGTACTGTAAAACTACTTAAAAACATACTGCAATTAAAAATATGTACGTGGAATAAATTATTATGTACGTGGTGTGCTTGGAAATAAAACTGTTTCTAACAATTTTGCGTTATGTTTTTCGCGTTGAGTACTTGCAGTATTTCTAACATGTTTTTTTAGTAAAAACAACAACTGCGAAATACAAACATAAGCCATATTTCAATACCTACTATAGTTTTCAGATGTTCGGGCGATTGTTAATATCAATATACAGATGTATTTCATGGGTAATTTCCTAACGGGGTTAGTATTGTTCATATTGATATGACTCACCGCATCTTCAAGAGATTAAAATAGAGAGATATAGATATCCAGAGGGCGGGAGGATGGGTGGGATTCCCCCTCCCCTATCCCTCCTCTCCTGGCCATGAGAAAAATACAAATTCAATTTATAGTAGACTTATAATGAAACTACACAGAAATAATGGAGTTTTTAACAAATAATAATTGTATCAATAACCGAATTTTTTTTAACCCACCAACAGTGAAGAATGTTAAGAAAATTGGATTTTTTTTATAACCCCTATAACAATAAAATCACTTTATTTTTACCTCCAGAAATATAAGTGCTTTGACATCGCCCAAAAAGAGTTATCATGTTTTTTTTTTTTTATTCAACTTTTATAGTTTTGTGACTGAGGTCTGACTGAAATATGACTGAAGATAGATCTTCAGGTGGGGTTATAAAATCCAAAGAGAAAAGGACACAAATTACCCTTTGACAGGGGTAAATTTTTAGGTTGTTTAGTTAGAGTAGATCATCAAAAGTAAATACAATTTTTTGCACATTACTGTCTTCTAAGGCGTTTTTTTTTTATATAGAGTAAATTCGTTATTTTTAGTTGTAACAATTATTAATCTAGACCAGTCACTTCCCCGAACGAAGGATATTACAACGTTGTAGATATAATTTTATATACTGAATTATTATCGCATCCAATTGTTAGTATTACGTTTAAGCCTCGCTTTATTTGGGTTATAAAACTACAGAGTGAATAAAATCAAGCATTTTTAGCATAACTGGTAAGTTTACCGGTGTATTTATTTCGAAGAAACCTAATATAAACAATAAACTGTACAAAGCAATAGTATTATGGAAATCAATTTATTCTATAAAATGTTTGGTTTTCAAAAGCGATAATATCAAAGTACATTACATACAGTACATCGTATATACATACGACGGTCGTGTAAAGAAGAAGTAGGTAATTTTTTTGTATTTGTCAAAACGGCAAAACAATTATTTTTTACGATTGACAGTCATGACTATTATAAGTACACATTAATGTATATTGAACAAATAGCATATATATATATATATATATATGATAGAAAGTTTTACACTAAAATCGCTATAACGTGAGCCTTTACAAAATAATAAGAACCATTAAAGTTCTAAATTCCTACTAAACAACAAGTCTCTCTTTAAAAAAAAAAATCATCATGTATTTCAAATATAGTAATATCTTTTTATTCTTGTTTTGTTTTTTACAAGTAGCAAACGCAGCAAGATTTACTGATGAGGTAATTAAATAATCTCACGCCTAAAAATGTATGATTAATTTAAATAATTATAATAATCACTAAATCCTCTAAAAACCTAGTGAATAATATAGTAGAAAAAAGTAGTATTTCTGTAATAATAGTGTTCAAATTGTATATAAACAACAAAAATGTAATGATTTTAGCAACTGCGAGAAATTTATGATGGCACCAATGAGCTTAGTTTAAGACGGTTCCAAGCACTAGAATTCGATGTTCCTGAACATTTTAAAAAGGGAAGAGTTAACAAGTTTGAAGTAAGAACCTACTTATATGAAGACGAAAAATATGAAAAATATCAACTAACAGTTAAAAGCATGCTGACGATAACAGAAGAATTGCCGGGGAGTACGTTAAATAATGATTCAGTAATAGATATTGTAAAATATGTATGTAAAATGTTAATAACTAATAATTATTACTTTGATGTTGTACCTAAATAATTATCGATAGGTAGTGTGTTATCTGAGGGATGCTTTAATATTAAACAGAATTCGTCTGTAAAAATAGTTGGGTGAAACAAGTTAGATATAACAATGTAAACCCAATCGTATCTTTCTGTTCTACCAAATATATTATAAAACAATTTTATAACAATTTGACTCATTGTAATTGATATTAGAATATTAATTTTATGACATTCTACAAGATTTTTTTTCGACACCGTTTTAGATTATTTGAAAATTGAAAGATTGAACAAAAAAATTATTGTTTCCTTATTGCAACCAGTCAACTCGTTACAACATAATAATATAGTTTGGTAAATTTCTATATGAATAATTTTGTTATGATTTTTAGTTGATGAAGATATCTTATTCGAGGAATTTAAAGATGTTATGAATAGAGTATGTGAGTAGTAGTATTCAGTAATATTTTCACCCTTTTACCAATAAATTTTGCGTTTCTTTGTAACATATTTTAGTTTTAGTTGTTTTTTTTTTAGTATGATTAAAAAAAAATACAAATTGTCAATATCTTATTATTCTTGTTTTGTTTTTTTCAAGTAACAAACGCAGCAAGATTTACTAATCAGGTAATTAAATAATCTCATACCTTAATGTATGATTAATTAAAATAATAATAATAACAATAACTAAATACTCTATAAACCTAGTGAATTATATACTAGAAAAAATTATTATTTCTGTAATAATAGTGTTCAAAATGTATATTAACAACAAAAATTTAATGAATTTTAGCAATTGCATGACATTTATTATGGCGCCAAAGCGCTTAGTTTAAGACAGTTCCATCTGCTATATTATCTTGATTCTCCTGACCATTTTACGGGAAAAGTTAACAGGTTTGAAGTTAAATTTTACTTATGTCAAGACGAAAAATATAAAAATTATCAACTAACACCTAAAAGCATGGAGACGATAACAGAAGAATTGCCGCCGAGTACGTTAAATAATGATTGAGTAATAGATATTGTAAAATATATATGTGAAATGTTAATAACTAATAATTACTTTGACGTTGTACAAAAATTATTATCGATAGGTACTAGGTAGTGTGTTATCTGAGGGAGACTTATAATATTATTCAGAAGTCGTCTGTAAAAATAGTTGGGAGAAACAAGTTAGATATAACAATGTAAACCCAATCGTATCTTCCTGTTCTACCAGATATGTTATAAAACAATTTTATAACAATTTGACTCATTGTAATTAATATTGGATTATTAATTTTATGTAATTCCACGTGACATTTTTTTTAGACACGATTTTAGGTTACCTAAAAACTAAAGAAGTTAACAAACAAAATTATGTTTCTTGATGACTTTTAATTATACCCGTTAAGGCCAATTATTGTACATAAAAATGAAATAATAATAATAGCAATTGCAACCCGTCAGCAATAATATAGTTTGGTAAATTTTAATATAAATAATTTTGTTATGATTTCTAGTTGGTGAAGATATGACATTCGACGAGTTTGAAGCTACTATGAATAGAGTGGATTTATAAATTCGCCGCCTCTGAGCAAGTAATATTTTTCACCCTTTTAATAATACATTTTGAGTTTCTTTATAACATATTTTAGCTGTATTTGTTTTTTTTAATACGATAAATAGAAATAAAGATTTCCACATATTTTAGGCTTGTTTGAGTTAATTATTAGTTCAACAAATAGTAAATATAAAAATAAAAAGCCAGTACAGCGGGATCAGACATAATGGAGACGGAGCATATTGTTAACATAGGGGAGGTCACGGGTCTTAAGGAATTAATATAACCGTAAATAATAAAATCACTTTTTATTTCTACCCCCAGAAACAGAAATATAGATACTGTTTTCACCCTTTCTGGTAGTAAACGGCTTTTGATTATTTATTGGTTTGTCAATGTTTCCCACAGGGTTGTATATATAATTTCATATAATGTATTATTATCGCATTGCAAATTAATTATTATATCAATATTTCAGGGCTACAAATTTACTACAACATCTACCGTTGTTCAGTGAATTCAAAAAGAAAAACTAAAGTATTTAATTTGTCTCTTAAAAAAAAGAAAAATCACTTTACTATGTTGATATCTTATTTTTTAGTTTTTATGTATTTATTCTTAACATTTTAATGGGTGTGTGGGTTATTTTTGTTTTAATCGGTTGCTTTATTACTTGTGTAATTTATAAATATTATATTCAAATCATTAAAACTTTATAAAAATGGTAAATAACTCGTTTTCTGACGATGAAAAATATAAATTAACCTTAGCGGACTTGGCTTAGCTTAATAATAGCAAATAATACACATAAGCTTCACGAGGACCTGAGAAAGGTATTAAAAGCCAAAAAAGTGAATTCCTTCAATATTTAAAAGCTGAAAATTAGACAGAAGATAGAGGTCAATTTTATATCAATAACATATTGTATAAAATAAAGAATCCATACTGGAAGCGTTCCACAGTCATTTTTAATTTAATTAAAAAGTGTTTCATTTTTTATAATATTGATTGGGTCATAATTAATCAGTCACCCTGTATACTCGTACATAGGTACACTATTAAATCAGTATAATCTGACAGCGGCTTATTTAATTAATAAATCACTTATACTGTTGCTATGAAGAAAATTAGTTTTAATAAATTGTTATAATGGTTAATGTGCATTATTTCCCAAGAAAACGTGCGGTTAATACTTTAAATGGAAGTAAGATGAAATATGGTGAACATCATGGATGTTTTGCAAATAACATAATATTTGAAGTATTTTTCTGTAAAATATTTTTTACATAGGTTTACTATCTACTATATTTTATTTTCACTGTTGGTGTTAACACATTTCGTCGTCTAACCTTGGCTTGTTTAAATATACACAAAACACATGTGATATGCTACCGTAATTTGACTTTTGCATCTCGATGTAACAAAAAAAAAAAAACCCAATTAGTTTTCAAGAATATTATGCCATACTCTGATCTTTTATTTGTTAAATAAAAATAAACATTAGAGCCAGTAAATGTTGAAACTCTAATTTA